ACTGCTGAGAGTCACATACTAGGACGAAACAGCTGTCCAGTGCTCCCAGATTTCCTTTGTTCCTCCAACTGATGTCAGTCTACAATGAATAACAACTTGGAATAAATTAAAGTTTACATATAGTTCGAATGACTTTAAAAAGACAAGGACTTCTCTCCTCCCAATTTCTTTCATGTGGTATTCCATAGTTCAGTTTCTCCTTGAGCTTTCTTTTCAGTATTAGCCTGATGAGAGAGTCCTAAGCATTAGTTCGATCGAAAAGTATCAAGTTATTGGAAATCCTACTTCGCACCTAATACTGGAAAGTGATGTTAGAAGTATCCAACTGGCTCCGCCCCCCCCCCGATTTTCTGTTTCTTGAGGAGCTTCACAACTAACTCACCTCCCTACCAGTGCCCTAAATAATACCCCAAGCCCAATAACTGGTCTCCAATTTCTGGTCCGTGAAAAATGCAGCGGAAATCTGGATAAACAATCAAGCTCGACAGATCACTTTACCTAACGGCATCACATTCATAAGAATGCTATGCAACAGATTTCTCTAGTAGTTTGTCTTGTATCAAATCCATCCAATAGAAGTCAATTAACAGCCAATGTATCTCCTTGACAATGTTGTATACTTTAATGTGAAGTCTATGAAGTTTTACACATGTGTAATATTCACCACAGTTGAACGACGATACTTCCAATCTTTAATTACTTGCACCACAACAAATATTTTCAGTACTATCAATCTGAATTGCTGGAAAAGGTAACACTTGAAGAGTGAAAAACACCTGAACTTAGACATTCACCTGGATTAAATGATTGTATGGATACTTATTTATTCTTGAAATCATTGAAGTAAATAATTATTGGTCAATAAAGCTAAGAACATGAGAATGACTGTGAAAATAGACGTTTATCTGATGAAATATTGGGTACTGCACAAAGGTCAATCATGTCGACTAGTCATAACGCAAACACCGAATATTGCGCCATTTTATATGAAGAAAGAATTGTGAGTAAGAAATGATTTAAACTCAGAACGATATGTATGTACTGTAAAGTGATATTTTCCTGCTATTTTCATAACATTTAGACCACACTTGGTATCATGGTAGAGTTTAATGTCCTCCCTCTGTACCATTCGATACTGTTAAAACTTTTTTATGTTTCCCTACAGATATCAACTTGATGAGGCCTGTAAACGGGCTTCTCTCATGTTAACTTCATAATTTGAGAATAAAGATATTTATTTATTTCAAGTTGGTATTCATCGTAGACTAACATCAGTTGGAGGGACAAAGGAAACCTAGGAGCACTGGACAGCCAGCTGTCTCATCCTAGTATGGGACTCCTGAGCAGTGCGCACCCACGACCCCACCAGCAGGGATCGAACCCGCGACCTTCAGGTTCCGCGGCCAGCGCGTTACCATTGTTCCTTTGTTCCTCCAACTGATGTCAGTCTACGATGTATAACAACTTGAAATAATTCCAAATCTCCACAACTCCCTCAAAATTTATTTATTTATTTATTACCTGAACTCGTAGGCATAGCTCGATTGAGAAGCTAATTCTTGGAATTTTAACATCTTTCACCTTTTCCAGTGTTTACTGGTATGGATTTTGACAGTTGACTGACGGAAATGTTCTCTTAAACACCAGCAATGCTATCTAAACTAGTTGGAAATATGCATGAAGTCACATTCATCAAGACGTCAAGTGTTACTGAACTCCATGAAATGGAGTCACCTCCAAAGACTTTTCCATTTTATTTGATTGATAATAATAACAGTGGTGTCTCAAACTCTTGGTTGAAACTGACGGATAACTAAGTGAAATGTTTCTTTTCATACATTCATTTAAGAGACATTCTTGTCTGAGTTGAGACCTCCTCAGGAGAATACCGAAAACCATAATCTGAATACATTTTTATCAATCAACTAAGTACACTACTCATTTTAGTAAGTAGTGTAGTTTATTAACTAAATAAGCTCACTGCAGATAGTGAGTACTGTATATTGATTCATTTGGTAAAGTCATGAAATTCATTCAAAGATAAATGTTTATGGATACAATGCAATAAACTTTGAACAAACATATGATCTGTTGTTTTACTCAGAACTCTTAGGTTTTCGACAGTTCTGCAACTAATGTCAGTTCGTGATGGTTACCATCTGGAGATAATGAATGCCTACAAATATCCAAGGTGAGAATGAATTGTTAGGTTAAATCCTCATGTATACAACATACAGACTAAGTGATTTCACATAGAAATTTTTCGATCAGGCTACTTTCCTTGTAAATGATTAGTTTGTCAACAGCTATAAACATATTCGGTTGGAATCGATGGTGAATCTAGGTTGGTATTCACCAGAGAGGAAGATCGCCTGGAGAAGAGTGGAAGATCCGGGAGCTCATGACAATTACTTTATTTTAGTGTGAGACTCCTTAGTAGTGTGCAGCCAGGATCCTGGCCCCCCTCTCCCTACGGGATCAAACTCAAAATGTTCAAGTTCTGCGGTGGACCTATTACCATCGGGGAACTTGGCCGGAATCCAATGTTTGGATAGCGTGGCCTTCATCCAATACCGTCATCTTCGACTTGGTTTACCCCACCGGTCTTGAATGCTTATTAGAACTTCGGGAAATCCCATCTCGAATCAGGTCACTAATGAGCATTGAAGATCATGAATGACATCATTTTGCTGGTCGTACAGCATAAAAGTCCTTGGTTTGATCGCTGGAAGGAGGTCGTAGGTTAAAGAAATACACTAACCAAACGCAATGAATCTTTCAAATCAAACCACTCACACTCATATTCGGATTTCACCATCCATAACGAGGATTTAAACGCGGAATCGACCCTTGAATCAGGTAATCGATAGCGCACCCAAACAACTTCAGCTTATAGACAGTGTCTGTTCAGGTTAACTATTATGTGAATGGGGATCGTCTAGTTTGTATATAGTCTTAAATTAATCCCTTCTGTCTCATTCTAACCAAAAACAAAATTATCTCCTCCTTTTACAGAATGTACTCAGAACATTTGCAAAATGATAGAAGTGTATGGTAACAGAATTTGTCTACCTAAACTCTTGTCATCGCTGGATGTTCGAATATGTCATGACATTGTTGAAAATCGATAAGTGATTCATTGAATGACTTTAAAGGTTTACAAAGGTTTTAATTATGTATAGTAATGATGAATAGTGGCTAATAGTGGAATCTACAATGTTCGTTTCGTCCTATATGGGACTCGTCAGCTGGATGTACCTGCCTCCTAGTGAGTAATGTTGTCCCAACTGGATTTTACTGAAATATGTATATATCAATAAGTTTGTTGATTTCCTTTAGGGACGAAATTCTGTATATCATCAGTTGTTTAGGTGATGTTCAAAGCCACCCAACCCTACACCTGTTGGAATTAAAAGTTTAGCTAGGAAATATAGGAAATATATAGTTAACCCCGCCTGGTTAACTAGTTCACTAGTTACTAGCCGGTCCTAAGCTTGGGTAAAGTGGAAAATTTGGGTGTAGGGCTAGCAACCTTACCACGTGAAACCAATCCAACCGCTAAACAAACTTAAAGCACAAAGAAAATCTAAAAAATAAAAACAAACTTATTTCTCACTGGAGTCGGAGAGACGAAATGACGCCTTTGAAAGCCTTCCGGAAGCCAATTGGCCGATGTGTCTTCTCTTTCTCGATGAAAACAAAAGTAAACATTAGTATTAATGTTAGTCCCTTGGGTTCCTAATGAAACATAGCGCTTCAGTAGCACGTCTCCAGTGAATTCTGTTCTCTGAAATCTTTTGAACCTGGTTGCACGACAGCCCACAACCTCTCATTTCCTCCTCGCACGATCTCCTCCATGTCACCCTCACGGACACCCAACTCGTCGCTTCCCATGGAGATTCCACTCGAGGGCCTGGCCTGACGCGTGATGTCCCCAGTCGGCCTTCTCAGTGCATGCCCAATCCATCTCTACTTCCTTCCAGTGCATATTTGTTGGGTGATAGGTTCTTGGTTGGTTGGTTCCCACAGCTCCTTGTTGTTTATTCTTTCTGGCAATCCATCTGATCTTCAGTAGCGAGCCAGCGTAAGCAGTTGTTGATGAATGTCTGTAGTTTATTGGAAATGCCTTTCGTGACGCGCCAAGTCTCTGAACCATATAGAAGCACTGACTTGACGTTGGTGTTGAAAATCCAGATCTTGTTCCACATGCTGAGTGCAGAAGATCTCCACACTGGTTTCAGGTTAATGAACACCTGTCTTGCTTTTCCGATTCTGAAAAGTAAACATGGGGACATGGAATGTCCACATCATGTTTGAACCTAGTAAGGCTGCCCAGATTGCAAAGGAAATATAGCAGAGGCTAAAAAAGAACTTGACTCACGTTGAACTTCTTTTATGTTGTTAGTGATAAACAAGTGCGTTTAGTTGAAGTATTCACTCCTGAAGTGATCCAGTGAACTAAGATGTAGGTAATAACAATACTGAACTCAAGAGAACACTTTTTTATGCATTATCATGTTCACTCTTTTGATGTGTATTTAACTGTTTAAATGATATACCTTTTTATGCTGTGTATATCACCTTAACCTTGTAAATACTTAGAATATCACCGATATAATTTCTGCCCCCAGTGCATGTTAATTGGTTCGAGGCAATGGACAAGAAGTTCTAGACTCATGTTTAGTGCTTGTTGACACTCGTCAGTAGGGCGTATATGCATTCTCGACGAAACTGACGTCTCATCTGAGATTCCTACCGAACATCACTCAGTGTTGTAGTCAGCCGATGACTGATCTCCTATAAGACTGATATACATACATTGATTGGTCACAGGAGAGTAACCATTTTCATATTGTCTAGTCTTGTCATTCATTCTGAATGATAAGAAAGTATAAAAAGGTAAATTTCTACTGTAAAAGAAATACTCAACATAAAAAAACTTTTCGAATAAACTGTACAATAACAAGGGTGATTATCTATATATCATCTTATTAACTAGGTTACTTCTCAGTTGATTTGATTTCATTTAGTTTGTCTTTCATCAGTAAACAAGGAACAACCGATGTATGCATCTGAGACAATTGATTTGATATATCAATATCTGGATTTTGTGGAATAATATCCAAGTTAATTGAATGTCTAGATGAATTGACAATACTCATGGAAATATCTGATCGTTTTTCTGATTTCTTTGTAGACTTCCTCTTCTGTTCTGATTGGTTAGAATTGACTGGTGTATTTCTACAGTTTTGGCGTAAATTACGCCATTTCATACGTCGATTTTGAAACCAAATTTTTACCTATAATAAAGGTAGTAGAAAACTTTCAACATTACTTTATCTTCAATTATTCAATTACATAGGCAAAAAATGTTTACTTGTCTAACGAACTGGGAAAAAACAAACAAATAAAGTTGAAGCATCTGATCAACGCACAATGGAAACTTTAAAGAGACTTTTGTTTGAAAAAGGCAATTGGGAATGAAGTCGATGCTAACTGAAAAAGTTGATGGATAGTCATACTATATCATGAATTGACAAAAAGGTAGATCATTCAACTCAGTAACTGAATAGCAAACCCATTCACCTTGATGTCTTGAGTTCGATCCCTAGTGAGATCAGGGTTTATATAGTGCTACAGTCCTTCAATCTTTTTCTCAATCATTGTAGTTCTTTACTTTGTAAAGATTGTAATAAGTAGAGGAATTCAGGGATTTCAGTTCATTTGGCGGATATTTTTTTTCCTGTCCAACTACAACGTTTATCACTGATCAAAACAGGATAATGTATAGATGAATGAGAAACCACAGTATCTCATAACTATACTGATCAAGACTGAGAAAATTAAGGATCATTATCAAAATTTCATCAAGAAATCCTTAGTCAATCGGCTGTATATCGTCACTCGATGACGTTTGAAGCTATCAGTCGCAGATTCAAGCCTAAGTGGCAAAATATCACTCATTGGGGGGTAAATACATCCATCTGACGAGTGCTAAATAGAACGAAATGCGCGTTCTGGGTTCCGCTGCTAGCAAAATATCCACTCATTATGTCTAAACTGCTTAGGATGCTTTGGATTGTTGACAAACTCCTGAAGTCTATCTATAAGTAGCTAGTGGTGAAATCCAGAATGTGTGTTTCGTCCTATTTGGGACCCGTCAGCCAAACACCAACGTGGTGGTCATCATCATCATCAACATAGGACCAGGTATTACTGCGTAACGGTCTGAGTTGCCACAGCTCATATCAGTACATCAAGAAGAAAGGTAGTGAGATGAAGGATGAAGATAAGAGAATACAGTCAAAAGAAATACTAAGTACGAGAAGAAAGAAAGGAAGAATGACAAAATGGTGAGATTCGGTATAGCGTCGTTAAAATGAGGATAATGTGTGTGGGGATACATCTGCGCCACTGACATCGGTTCTGAGGCACATCACCTAAAGTCTCTAGCCACTGGTTCCTCTTGTCCCGTGGACCCCAACCACCTAGTCTGCATCAGCCTACATGGCTTAAACCAACAGTCAGACACTTCATACATTGATGCCATGTTTTAGTCTGGCCACCTCGGGCCTCCTTCCAGCCTGAACCTACTTCGGCCAACATTGTGTGACGAGGCAATCGGTGACTAGGCATACGCAGTACGTGTCCCAACCATCTAAATCCATGAAAGTTCATAACGTGATGGTCCTGCCACTGAGACTTAAACCCAGTACCCACCTCTTCAACCTCCAAAGCACTGTCCACGAGGCCACTTCAACGCGAGAAATTATACACATATATGATCTCGAATAACATAAGGATAGACGGCAGAAATGCGAAATTATTGTGAGAATTTTTATGAATATACCAACTGTATCCATACTGAACTTTGTGGAAGGTGAATTCCTGGACAGGCAATCCTAAAATGGGGCAATAATGCCTAATCTGTGCAGTACCCTAAGCTTCACAGTGTCCTGTCAACGTATGTCGAAATCTGTTGTACGGACCTTTTTCAGTCTCACTTCCACACGGTGAAACATTTTCTGGATACACTTTCCACTCCTAAATAAGAAAGACTGAAGTACTTGACTCCAAGAAAAGACCAGAAAACCATTAAAACACATTATCAATGTACAGAAACAGTGGGCGGATTTTCTTCACCTGTTTCCTGTGGGACAACAGATTACTGTCATCTTCTAAAGAACAAATCACCAGCGAATGGGTTTAAGAAGTTTGAAAAACCTTTTGTTTGCATTATCAAGTAATATAATAAAGAGTTTGTTGAAATAATTTTAAAGATCACCCCCAACAACTATTGAAATAACCAATCAAGTTTCGTTATTTCAGCTGTGAAGTCAATTTTTCACTGAGTAAAGAAATGTAATTGACTATTTCAGAAGAAACCTTGTTGACACCGTAGGTGAGAAGTTAAGAAACGACTCCGTTGTGAGAAATATGAACGTGGAGCATGGGGTTTGTAAATCATCTACAAATTGATCATTTTATTTTAGGTATATTGGTCCATGGAAGGCAGCTAGCCAAATCCAGGTGTTCTGGAATAACTTGACTACATGAGCTCAGGAGTTTGTCTGGACATACCACTAATGTGCTGGCTCAGCCCCAAACAATTGAAATGGCTGTCCAGTGTTCAGATAAATTTGATCTAGCCGTCTGGCGAAATCTACACAGGAGCCCCGAGTGGTTTCTAACTGCCCAACTTCTTCATTAGTAGTATCTCAGAGGTTGTTACAGTGGCCTTCAAAGTCACTCATCTGCTTAGATTCTAAGTGTTTTTGCAAGTAGGGAGGAGTAGAAAATGAATATCCGTCGTAACGGTAACTGAAAAACGTGTATGGGTATGTTTTACTGTGATTACTTCTAGTGGGATATTGAATGGCTACAAAAAACATCCTAGCAACTCTTGAAATAACCAATCAGATTCCAGATTTTTGACTGGGACAGTAGTTTTTCATAGAACAGAGAAATGTAATTGGTTGTCTCAGCAGATAAGGTCAAAATACCAGAACCTGACCAGTTATTTAAACATTTACTACTTTAATACTGTCCCCTTACTATGGTGAACAACTGACTATCGACGACGTAAACTGAATAAAATTAAAAGAGTGAACTGTAAGCCTACTGACTGGTTATATTCCCGAGAATATTCACGCTTAAGAACCAGACAAGAATAAAAAAAATTGCGCTAAAATTCTGGATGAATTAAGACTTAAATACCAACATATAAGTAGTTATCATCTGAATTCCTTAGAACAAATAGTCAGTCAAAGGTAACACAGAAGTTAACAGTCAGCGGATAAATTTCAACCAATGCAAGTAAATCACCACTTTTACCCTCTCTCTCTAACAGAACACTTCTACTAGATTTAATTAAACTGATGGCCACTAATACTTTCAATGGTTTGCGAACTAAAATTAGGCATGGGATACAATAGCTACCAGGCATGAGGTTCGACTCCATATTAGATTTGTTTATTCGACTTGTGACACATAGTGATACAATATTATCTACTCGATGACGTTTTAGCACATCGAAAATTTCCTCAAACACATAAACTCCGTAGTCAGCGCAATCCAATTCACTTACATGGAGGTAGGAAATGAAAAAGAAGTATTACCCATGTTGGATTGCAGAATAAAACGAAGGACAGACGGTGGTTTGCAGACTACCGTCTACAGGAAACCGACATATTCTAACAGATATCTAGACTTCAAATCATCTCATCCAATATCAGCCAGTTAGGGCAGGCTCAGTCAAATGTCTAAATGTTACAGATAGAAAATTGACTAGTCAGTGCAAGGACCCAAACATGGGAATTGAAACACATAAAAAAGGCAATAATAGTTAATAATTATCCTGTACACTTCATTAAAAAATCCGAACAAACACATAAGAAACGAAAATATACCAGTAACATGAGTAATAATGACAAGACGAATAGAAAGGAGTTCACAGCCTCCATTGTGTTACCCTATAAAGAAGGTGAATCAGGAACTTAACATAGGATTCTCAACAAAACCGGAATTCGGGTGGTATTTAAACCTACAAACTCACTCAAAGAGATCAACTTTGTCGGGTGGCTTAAGGATCTGGTAGATGCAACTAAACAGAATAATCTAATCTGTTAAATTCAGTGTAATGACTGTGAAGTCAAGTACATAGGTGAAACTAGCCAGTTACGGTCAGTTAGAGTCCCCGAGCATAGGAATTTTTGCTAAATATAGAATGACAGACCCGAATAAGATCATTAATCTAGAAGGGAACCTAGCTATTGTAATGGATTCATTAGTATACAACTACACAGTAGGCTGGGTGGGATAAAATTACTGTACTCAAATCCAATATAATTAGAAGAGATTGATTACTGAATCTTTGTTCATCGAATCAACACCCAGCCAACACATGTCTTTTTCAAGTTGTTATTCATCGTAGACTGATATCAGTTGGAGGAACAAAGGAAACTTGGGAGCACTGGACAGCCAGCTGTCTCATCCTAGTATGGGACTCCTCAGCAGTGCGCACCTACGACCCCACCAGCAGGGATCGAACCCACGACCTTCGGGTTCCGTGGCCAGCACGTTACCATTGAGCCACTGGGTCGGCGGAATCCAATGCTCCATATTTCCAACTTCTGTTAGGTCACGATATAGTGCAATCGCCACCCAATTTCATCTTTGAGTAACTGTCCTCATGACCATCAAGCTTTGCCCCCACCAGTCACGACTTCTCATTGGGATTTGGAAATATTTCCGAATCCCCATAACTCCCTCAAAATTCAGCCATTTTTCATATAAATGCCTATGATAAGTATGTGTGTTATCAGACTGTTCGAAATGTGTTGCACAACTACATGACACCATACAGATAAATTACGTCTCCTTACTGTTGCTTTGTGAACTATTTCACCCCACAGAGTATATAACCAACAAAATTAACCTCGAAAATCGGTAACTAACATTTTATTTCATTTGACTCACGATAGAAATAACACAATTATTCCATGTATTTTTGAGATGAATGGGGATTTTGAATTTAGAAGTAGTATTCATCATGGACTGACATCAGTCCGCCGTGAAACCTGAAGGTCCTGAGTTCGATCCCTAGCCGGGTCGTGGGTGCGTAGTTCTGAGGAGCCCTATACTAGGACGAAATAACTGTCCAGTGCTCCGAGATTTTCAATGGTTCCCCAACTGATGTCAGTCTATGATGAATACTACTTCTAAATTAAAAATCCTCATCCATCTCAAAAATACATTACTGTATGGTGCTCATTTTAGTGACTTGCTTCCAGATGGATAT